TACAGCGAGGTAGTACGGGCTGGTGTTCGGCTTGAGTTGCCGCTTTGTCCCGACCACGTGGTGGTCGGTCAGCCACATTGTGCGCTGATGGCACGGGATCCAGCGCCTCCTCATCCAATTGAGGTAGTAATTTGCGCTTCGGGTAACTTTTGAGTGGTCACTCGAGGTCGTATTCTCGGCTGCTAGGACATTAGTTCATCTATCGTTGAGTAGATCTTGATCAGCTTGAAGCTGCCGCTGCTTCTTTTTCAGGCTCTTTTCAGTGGCTATTAGCTGGTGCTTAAAGCGCTCCTGTTCGAGAGGTTCCTCGGGCATGATAAAGTCATCGTTGCCGAGGCTCACCTCATCCTCAGAGATCAAAAGGTAGTTACTGTCTTCCGAGTCTTTGTTCATGGCATGTACATCAGGGCTAACTCGCCCATCTTCCCGTTCGTCCTGTACGGAGGTTGGCTTAGCGGGGTCTTTATTGTCTTCGGCATCGTCGAGAGTATTGTTTGTGCCGGTATTGCTGTCTTTTCCGCGGCGTGGCTTAGAGTGGCGCCGCTAACATCGACGCTTCGGTTGTATCTCAGGAGGCCTGTCCTCGACTGGATCTTCCTTGTCATCGCCACTATTCTCGTGTGGTGTGTCCACCATGTATATGTCGTAGGAGGGGTGGCCGTCCAGCACCTAGCAAATGGCGGGTTTTGGGCCTGCTCCTCTTCGGCATCGTCATCCATACCGTCGATGTCTTCGGAGTCATAGTTGAGCATGTCGGTTAGATCTTCGACAGTGGCTATTAAGTGGGAGGTGGGGGGGAGCGGAATTCCCCGTCATCAACCCACAGTTCAAACCGGATATAATTCGGCTATGAGTCCCCTGCTAAAGAGAGGGTTTTTAATGAGTTTAGCACATCGCCTAAAGGTGAGTGCTGGAAGATGTCCGCGGAACTGAATTCGACGATCGGCACTTGGTAAGGCTCGAGGGACGCGGATGCACGTAGTTCAGAACCAGTGCCCGGAGATGAATCCGGGGGTCCGGTGACGCAGACCCCGCTCGAGGTTGGGTCTGTGTGCGGCCCCAATGCCGCTAAGTCTGCGGTTTCCATGGTGGGGTTAAGCTTCCCGCCTTCGGATGGCGCAAGCTGCTCCGGATCTAGGGCCAGAGCGCTTACAGGCGCAATCTCCTGGGTATGGTCCGATGACAGATTTAGGCCATGTTCATCGCGTTGGCAGGGAGCGGCTGCCATGGGCTCAAATCCGTCGAAGATCAAGTCTCCGCGGATATCAGCGACGTAGTTCAAACTTCCAAACTTGACCTGACGGCCAGGGGCGTAGCTGCCGATCTTCTCTAGATGGCCAAGCAAGTTGGCCCGCAGTGCGAAGCCGCCGAATACGAAGATCTGGCCAGGAAGAAATACATCCCCCTGGGCAGCGTTGTTGTAGATGATGGAAGGAGCCATTGAACCTTCTGATGACGACACATCGGAACTCTCAATGAAAGCACCAATGTCGGTGTCAAAACCGGCGGATCTCGGGTAGGGGGTCCCGAACTGTGCATCTAGGGTCGATGGTAACAGGAGACAGGGGACATGATGTTTACCCAGGTTTGGGCCCTCTCTATGGAGGTAATACCCTACTTCCTGCTTGATTGATCTTGATGAATATGAGTATTACAAGAGTTGATCTACCTCGAGACCGTAATAGCTAAAACCCTGGAAGTCTAGCCTATGTGATTATGATTGTCTCCGCCTCTACGGACTAAACCCTTTGATTTATATAGACACTAGAGGGGACTAGGGTTATACAAAGTCGGTTACAGAGAAAGGAATCTTCATATCCGAATGCCAAGCTGGCCATCCATGCCAAGGAGAGTCCCATCCGGACATGGGTGAGAGTCTTCGGTCTTGTATCTTCATAGCCCATCAGTCCGGCCCATGTCCAACAGGCCGGACGCCTGAGGACCCCTTAGTCCAGGACTCCCTCAACCGAGACGCAGGACTATTACTTCCTTCGAGAAGGGCCTGAACTCGTAAACCTTGCGTGCACAACCTCGCCATAGCTAGGGCATTGCCTCCTCCTACGTAACCCCTATTCTTACTGTCAGACTTTCTCCCATGACAGCGCCCTCCGGCGGTACTACTGCATGGAGTTGAGCTATAGCCGATACCCGTGGTACTTCCACCAAGAAGTGTCGGCCTACTTTCTCCCAAGGGATAGAACAGTATAAAACAGAAGAAATAAAGCGATACTTTCCGAGGTACTAGCCCGCGGTTGTTCCGCTGGAGCGGTACTACTGTGGCTAGCAACGGTACTTTCGCTTAGCCTATGGGTGTCTAGTAAACCCGCGGTAGTTGAGAGGCGGTTAGCCCCGTAGTACCGCATGAGTGGTAATACCGTGGCAAACTACCGCTCACTACCGCCCGTTTACAAAACCAATAAGTTTGGCGGAAGTAGCATCCTTACTACTCAGAGGCAGTACCGCTGGAGTGGTAGCCTGTTCTGACAATGTTCAAATCATAAAGGAAGGACAAGCTCAAATGCCGAAAAAGGAATGACGGTGCAACGAAAAAGTGTACGTGTTGATTCCACCCAAACCTTTCCAAAGCAGACCCCCTCTTAATAGCAGTGTTACTACTACTCAAATCCACAGAAAAAGAAACACAAGAAAACATCGTCTTTATAAATCTCCAGAGGGGTCCAAATCGTCTTCTGCAATAAGGTAGATTATCTGAAATGCTCAACACACACGATTAGTCCGCAAAAGCATTGACATCAATCACCAAAAGCGCTAAGGGAGAAATATGCCCTAACACCTATGTTTCCAAAGGAGGCGTCACCTTAGAACACTATTATCTCTAGTCTCAATGGTTGGTTCGGCAGGTGGCGGTGTTCATGGTTGATAGAGATTTAGGGGATGTTTGTGACTATGGTTGCCACATGTTGCCATGCCTAAGGTTAGGCAACTTTGATCAACTTAGAAGGGTGTTTGGTTCAAGCCTTACCTTAGGCAATATACTTTTTGCCACACAAGGGCCCCACATGATATACAATCAAAAGTGTGGCAAGATTCCTTTAAGCTTGCCAACTTATGACTCTCATTTTTAAGAACTAACCTTAGGCAAGTGTGGCAAGAAATGTGTAGAAAAATATGTCACTCCTAGGCCTAGAACCAAACAACCCCTTAGTGACTAAATGGCTAAATGCATGACAATATTTGTCCGGTTGAATGTAATATCCTCGTTAGCACATCTCCAACACGGACCCGTAAAACTTCTGCATACGTCCACACCTAGTTGTCTGGATGTAGTTTGTCATCCAAGTGGTCCCTCATTCGTCTGTAAACTGGTTTGGACGTCTATTTTCCCGCAAATTAGACACAAACTAAGAGAACTTTGCGGGTGTTCGGATTGCTGACACGTACGAGTCTACCACCCCAGACCCACCCAAAAATCTCTCATGCACTCTCTGTTGCACAAAGTGATTGCCGCACATTCATGTTGGTATGTGCCACTCCAGAGCGCCAGCGCCGCATTCATGTTGGCCCAGAGCGGATGCGGCCCCACACTGAAGCTGGCATTGACGCGGTGCCCCGGTCGGGAGCGTCGTCCGCGCCCCATCCCGGTCAACATGCATGTTCAATGCCGGTGTGATGTGACTGGACGAAGCGGTACAACTATCTACCGCATTCAAACTGGTTGCCCGTCCGTCCGCTTGTCAGCATTAAATTGGCGTAACAGTCGAGAAACCAACTCCGACGCTTGCATTGATAGTTTCATACACCTCGCTGCTTGGCCTGACCAGCACCCTCTAAACGCGGCATCGCCCGACACCATCCGCATCACAAACACGTCCGCTTCCAATCCTCCTCCTTCCACCACCTCCTCCATGACCGTGAACACTAGGGAGATGTGGAAGAGCCTCTCGACGGACCAAAAGCATGAGGTGGCAGGCTTTGCGGTCAGCTGCCAGGGTCGTTATGCATGGTGAATAGAGGTAAGCCTGTCGGCAAGCTCGCCAAAGGTGAGCGACGACAACCCGACGATGGAGGACACCTCAGACGATGAGCTAGAGCCCCTCCCTGCGCATGTCCATGCTGGATTGACCATAGAGCTGGTGCAAGCGCACTTCGATGCCGTCATGGCAGAGGAGCGGACGGCGCCACGGCCGGTGACGGCGTTTGGGTAGGCGCATGAGGAGCAGCAGTACAATCTCTCCCTCCTCGTGCATCACTCGCTGGCGGCCGGCTAAATCTATGGTGAGTGCACGAGCACGGAAGCCATGAAGGTCATGGTCGTTGAGAACCTGAACTTTGTCGAGGAGCAGCGTGCGCTCTACCAGGCCGCTCGCGCAGCGCCGTCAGACCCACAGGCGATGCTCAAGGACGGAAACACCGGCCTGCCCACATTGGTCATCGACCTGACCTCTACAAGCGACGACGAGGTCGCGGGCTCCGAAGAAGAGTAGGACGTGGGAGACAATTGCGCCTCGTGCCTCATGTGTGCCTGGTCGGCGGGGTTCACAGCCATCGGAGATGGACACGGAAGGAAATAACAATGACATGAAGGACGGTGCCGACGAAGATTTATACTAGGTTGGATTCAAAAGCTTTTTAATGAAAATATGTCAAAATATAATGAATGTTTAAATGAAAATCATCCGGTTTATATAAAAGTCGTCCGGTTTGCTCAAATCTCATTCGAAATATATGCGAACAGGATTGGATAGCCAGCTTCTCTATTTGTCCGCAGATAAATACAGTGTCCACTTTATTGATCGGCGTTGGAGATGCCCTTGGCTTTCACCAATGTGTATATTTCCACCTTCTGGAGCATCATTAATTTCACGGCGGGCTGTGTCCAGGTTACATGTAATAAGCACCAAAATACAGACCGAACTGCGCTCAAAATTACCCTTATTTCTATCAGGTCGACGAATTTGCTTCCTAATTTCTAACGTAACATGGTAATATGGACCAGAGTTATGCACGGGCAGGACACGATCGATAGGCACACAATCCCATCAAAACAGGTGCCCGCCGTAGGAACCCCCGAATGAGATCATGGCCGGCGCATGCTCAAACCGCGGCACCGACATCCCCTGTTCTAGCCTCGCGTCTCGCCTTGCTGAAACCTTAGTCACCTGCATTGGAAAAAAAAATTGAGCGACATCACAAATTTATTCTATACCGTCACGTTAACTGCATGTATGCATAATATCTAGGCTAAGTACCTTGCGATCACCGGCCGCCCGGAAGTTGACCTTGTGCGGCGTCTGCTGCTGGCCGCCGAGAAGCAGGGCCAGGCCGGTGGCCGCCGCCGCCAGCCCCACGGAGCAGATCACGCCGACGGCGTGCTGCTGCCACCCGTGGTCGTGATCACCTTCCGACTCCTTGCACTCCGGTTCCTGATCTGCAACCACCTCCCCGTCCTCGTCAGCATCCGACGCCTTCTCCAACAGGCCGCCGACCGATTCCACGTCGTCATCAACTGAACCCTCGCTCTCAGAGTCAGAGCCAGACGGCGCCGGCGGCTCCACCGACGCGCACCGCACTGCGGCGTTGGGCGTGGGCTCGGAGGCGAAGTGGTTCACATCGATCGTCTTGTCGTCGTTGCCGGCCAGGAAGCGCGCCTTGTGGTCATCGTCGTCCTCGTCGAGTTGGTACGACCAGAGGTCCGCGGCGTGCGGGACCAGCACGAACTCGTCCATCTCCTGCATCTCTCGGGCGGGCGAACCCATCTCGGCCGGCTGCATGCGGAGACCACGATCGACGACGAGGCGATGATCTCACAGGGCCTTTCTTACGGCGCAAGGGAAGGTGTATATATAGGTTGCGTGCGCCGTCGACGTGGGGAAAGCGTGCAGAAGGAGATGAGATTCTACGGATGGATTTGGAAATTTTGGACACGTCCGGGCTGGCCGGATGAGGACTCCGTTTGTTCGGTCGTGTTGGGTCCAAATTATTCCAAATGAGAAGAAAAAAAAGGAAATGCGAAACAGAAAGGCTGAGCAACTCAATTTCGTCCATGAGCCCATCCAGCTCATGATTGCATGCAAGAGGCCTGGAAGGCTTGAAAGTCAGGACGAATTATGCCTTCCCTTGTGGGACCTCGCACAGAGCAGTCCTCCGACTGGGCCAGCCCACGCGGAAGCTGCGAGCGGTGCAAAAAACAAAAAAAAAGTACTGTAGGATACAGGTAGCTAGCCACCACGGCTAGTTAAAGTTCATGCTGAATAAGCGACGCGAATAATTTAGAACTAGCTACAACTGCAGATTGGATTATTTTTCCTTTTTATAATCACTTCTTGAAAATTCTGAATACTGTTTTTCAAAATTCTGGATGTTTTTTATAAACACGCATAAGTTTCGAAAACTTGTGGAAAATTTTCGAATTTCTAACCAAATTTTAAGACAGGGAACAACTTTAGAACTTGTGATTTTTTGAAGGAACATTTTTTTAATTCGGACCAATTTTTATAAACACGGACATGTTTTTTTTAGATGTGAACAATTTTTTAATTTGTGAACAAAATTTAAAAGCAGGAACATTTTTAGAATTTGTGAATAAATCTTAAAAATGGAAACATTTTTTAAAATTCTGAACAATTTTGGGCAATCACAAACAAGTTTTGAAAAAAAGTGAATAATTTTTAAATTTGTGTACAAATTTTGGAAAACACGAATTTTTTTGTATTCGTGAAGAAAACTTGAAAAATGGAACATTTTTTAATATTTCAAACATTTTTTGAGAATCATGAACTAGTTTTCAAAAGAGTTAACACTTTTTTAATTGTGATTTTTTTTAGAATGGGCACCTTTTTAAAATTTGTAAACAAATTTTGAAATTGGAAACATTTCTGAAATTTTCAAACATTTTCTGTGAATCTCAAACAAAGTAATCAGAAATCGCAATTTATTTTAAATTTCCAAATATTTTTTATAATTAGCAAATATTTTTCAAAATTGTGAACATAATTTGTAAATACGAACAGCTTTTTTAATTCCGAATAATATTTGAAATTTTCAAAACTTTTTTTGAAAAAAGTAAAAATAAACTTGAAAACAGAAAAATGAAATGAAAACGGAACAGAAGATAAAAGAAACAAGAAAATAAGAAAAACTAAAATCGCGACAAAAACGTTCCAAACTGGAACGAACGAACTCGTCAAATGGATCGGCCCACTCGCTTCGCTAGTGCGCCTGCCTGTGCGATGCGGCGACAATTTGCTGCAACACGCGAGAAATAGGGATTTCCTTCCCTTCTCACTTGTTTTCTGTTTTTCTTGTTTTTTATGTTCTCTTCTATTTGTTGTGTTCGATGTGTCAAGAGTCAAGACAGTACATGGGTCGTTGAGGGAGTTCTAGATTAGGGGGTGTTCGGGTAGCCGGACTATATCTTCAGCCGGACTCCTGGACTATAAAGATACAAGATTGAAGACTTCGTCCCGTGTCCGGATGGGACTTTCCTTGGCGTGGAAGGCAAGCTTGGTGATGCGGATATTCAAGATCTCCTACCATTGTAACCGACTCTGTGTAACCCTAACCCTATCCGGTGTCTATATAAACCGGAGGGTTGTAGTCCGTAGGCAATAAACTCCATACACAACAATCATACCATAGGCTAGCTTCTAGGGTTTAGCCTCCTTGATCTCGTGGTAGATCTACTCTTGTACTACCCGTATCATCAATATTAATCAAGCAGGAGTAGGGTATTACCTCCATCGAGAGGGCCCGAACCTGGGTAAAACAAAGTGTTCCCTGCCTCCTGTTACCATCCGGCCTAGACGCACAGTTCGGGACCCCCTACCCGAGATCCGCCGGTTTTGACACCGACATTGGTGCTTTCATTGAGAGTTCCTCTGTGTCGTCGCCTTTAGGCCCGATGGCTCCTTCGATCATCAACAACGATGCAGTCCAGGGTGAGACTTTTCTCCCCGGACAGATCTTCGTCTTCGGCGGCTTCGCACTGCGGGCCAATTCGCTTGGCCACCTTGAGCAGATCGAAAGCTACACCCCTGGCCATCAGGTCAGGTTTGGAAGCCTAAACTACACGGCTGACATCCGCGGGGACTTGATCTTCGACGGATTCGAGCCACAGCCAAGCGCGCCGCACTGTCTCGATGGGCATGATATAGCTCTGCCACCAAACAGCGCCTGGGAGGCCGCACACGCATCGGTTCCGACCATTGATTTGGAGCCTACTGCACCGATCGAGGATCGGCGGTTGGACGCTGCCTCAGGGGCTGCGATCTCAGAGGCGATTGAGCCGAACTCCAGCCCCGCACTCCGCACGGCCCGTGACTCCGAGGAGCCGGATTCCTCTCCGAGCTCCGAGCCCCCCGCGCCCCTGCTGATCGAATCCGATTGGGCGCCGATCATGGAGTTCACCGCCGCGGACATCTTTCAGCACTCGCCCTTCGGCGACATCCTAAATTCTCTAAAGTCTCTCTCTTTATCAGGAGAGCCCTGGCCGGACTACGGTCAGCAAGGTTGGGATACGGGCGATGAAAAAATTCAAAGCCCACCCACCACCCACTTCGTAGCCACTGTCGACGACTTAATCGACACGCTTGACTTCGATTCCGAAGACATCGACGGCATGGACGACGATGCAGGAGACGAACAAGAACCAGCACCTGTAGGGCGCTGGAAGGCCACCTCGTCATATGACATATATATGGTGGATACTCCAAAAGATGGAGATGACGATGGAACAGTGGGGGATGACGCCCCCAAGAAACAGCAAAAGCGTCGGCGTCAGCGGCGCCACTCTAAATCCCGCCAAAGCAAAAACGGTGATTCCGGCACGGGAGATAATACTACCCCGGATAGCGCCGAAGAACACCCACCTCAGCAAAATTCGGCACAGGAAGATGGAGAAACCAGCCCTCATGAAAGAGTGGCAGACCGAGAGGTCGAGGATGACTATACGCCTCCCTCCGAAGACGAGGCTAGCCTCGATGACGACGAATTCGTCATACCATCAGACCCCGCCGAACAAGAGCGTTTTAAACGTAGGCTTTTAGCTACGGCAAGCAGCCTCAAGAAAAAGCAGCAACAGCTTAGAGCTGCCCAAGAATTGCTAGCTGACAGATGGACTGAAGACCTTGCGGCCGAAGAGTACGAACTCGAACGCCCCTCCAAGAGTTACCCGAAGCGCAGGCCGCTACCCCGATCAGAGGAGGGAGCACCTACATCACCAGCGCATGACATGGCAGACCGGCCACCTCGCGGCCGCGGCAGAGAGGCCTGTCGGCCCTCCACCCAAGCCATGCCCCAATGCCGCTCAACTAAGGCACGGGAAAATGCGCCCGACCCGCGAGACATACCGGGGGATAAGGCAAGACAAACAAGATCGATCTACGGATCGCGCAGGCGCCCTACGGCATGTGACAATGATCTTCACTCCAGATACAACAAATCCGGTCGGGCCGAACACAACAGACATAGCTCTTCCGAGCTGCGTCGTGATATAGCCCAGTACAGAGGCGCCGCACACCCGCTATGCTTCACGGATGATGTAATGGATCATAAAATCCCAGAGGGTTTCAAACCCGTAAACATCGAATCATACGATGGCACAACAGACCCGGCACGCGGCGATGATCTACACGCCATCAAATACCTCCCGCTCAAACTTAAAGGACCAGCCCGGCATTGGCTCAACAGCCTGCCAGCAGACTCAATCGGTTCTTGGGAGGACCTGGAAGCCGCATTCCTCGACAACTTCCAGGGCACTTACGTGCGACCGCCGGATGCCGACGACTTAAGCCACATAATTCAGCAGCCAGAAGAATCGGCCAAACAATTCTGGACACGGTTCCTAACAAAGAAAAACCAGATAGTCGACTGTCCGGACGCAGAGGCCCTAGCAGCCTTCAAACATAACATCTGCGACGAGTAGCTTGCCCGCCACCTGGGACAGGAAAAGCCGAAATCCATGGCAGCCCTCACGACACTCATGACCCGCTTTTGCGCGGGAGAAGACAGCTGGCTAGCTCGCAGTAACAACTTATCGAAGAACCCTGGTAATTCGGATACCAAGGACAAAAGTGGCAGGACACGTCGGAATAAGCAAAAGCGCCACGTTAACAGCGACAACAATGAAGACACGGCAGTCAATGCTGGATTCAAAGGCTATAAATCCGGTCAGCGGAAAAAGCCATTCAAAAAGAATACTCAGGGCCCGTCCAGTTTGGACCGAATACTCGATCGCTTGTGCCAGATACATGGCACCCCCGAAAGGCCAGCCAATCACACTAACAGGGATTGTTGGGTGTTCAAGCAGGCAGGCAAGTTAAGGGCCGAAAACAGAGACAAGGGGCTGCACAGCGACGACGAGGAGCCCAAGCCGCCGAACAACAATGGACAGAAGGGCTTTCCCCCACAAGTGCGGATGGTGAACATGATATACGTAACCCACATTCCCAAGCGGGAGCGGAAGCGTGTGCTATGGCAGTCGGCTCTGATACCAACTTGTGACGCCCCCGATTTAATCGTACACCAATCATGCACGCAAATGTGTACGATCAAGATCAGGGACTCACGGGAAGATATCACAACACAACTCTAAAACATAAATAAGTCATACAAGCATCATAATACAAGCCAGGGGCCTCGAGGGATCGAATACAAGTGCTCGATCATAGACGAGTCAGCGGAAGCAACAATATCTGAGTACAGACATAAGTTAAACAAGTTTGCCTTAAGAAGGCTAGCACAAACTGGGATACAGATC